GTGATGGCATAGCTCATAGGCAAGAACAGGAGTAGAAATCTAGGTAGGTAAGAAGCAAGTTAAGAGTTGTAAAGACCACCTGGACCCTGAGCCAAAGTAAAAACTTACGTAAGTCTCTTCCAGTCATGGGTTCTCACTAAACTTCTCTCTAGGATCTCATTTATGAAAGGTTTTCTTTTATGCCAGCAGCATGAACAAAGGTGTTGCAACATTTTTATTACAAGTGTATTTCACCATCCATACTAATCAACTTTCTGGATCTAAAACTGAACTCATATGGTAGCTACACTTGTGGTGAGCACAGCATAGTCATAGAGAAGTCAAATCACTACTCTGTACACCTGAAACTAATGTAACATTGTGTGTCAACTTTCCAACCTTCCCCCCCCCCCCCCCCCCACCCCCAAATAAATAGGAGGATGATTGCAGGGGAAAAGTCAGCCAATGCTTCAATTGAAATACTTTTACTCTACTGACAGATCTTTCAAAGTTCCTTACTAACGAATTAAGGCTAATGTATGTATGGTTATGGTACGTTCCATATTCAGCACTTTAAATATATATTAATTCCGTGTACGGAAAAAAGCAGTAAAACATTAACGAAACTATTTTTGGGTTGCATAAGGCCAAAACGAAGAATCATTTACTGGCATAAGTCTCTACATTGTTGTTCGTTCCACTGCCCGAATGAAACATTTCTGCACCCATTTGGTGCTGTAAACATTTATCCATTTCCCTTTTTTGAGTTCACTGTTCCAAGTCCGGGCAATAAAAAAGGTTAAGTCTGATGACAGGTATTAAAAGCACAACCACTGCTATATTATATCTGTAACCGAGAGAGTCAAGAGGACTGGGCCCTTTTCCTTTTAGAAGCAAGGGGAGACAAAGTTAATTCGTTTGTACACATAATAATATTTATATAACGTGATATTTTAGCATCATTAGATATTACCTAAAATTTGTGAGTTTAAAGAGCACCTTGAATATAATCAGCGTTCAAAACTTTTTAATCCTTAGGAAACTTTTCTCATATCACTCGTAACAGTCTAAAGTAGCTAATCATATGCTTATTGTACTTATTGTAACTTATCGCAACAATTTGCAGGTTTCCTACCTCTGAGGAGGAATAAAAGGAAGACAGAAGATTAAAATAAGTCCTATTTCAGCATAAAGAAAGGTTGCAACTGCCACCCACTGGAGTGTCATTTTTTTCCTCTTCACACCTAAATAGAGAAACACTTATTTTACTCTCCTGCCTTTTAGAGAAAAACTTGATTAAAGCCCTGGGACGTAATGTTTTCGTCCAGGGGGTCAGACGGCGCCGGTCCCTCCTCTAACCCGTGGCACCTGGCCTTAACCCCCAGTGGGAGGGGCAGGGGTCAAGGGTGGGCCCAGAGGTCCGTGTCTCCACTTCCTCTGCGAGCTGTGCGGAACCGGCCTGCACCGCACAGAGGACGTGCTGGCCCGCCACCCTCGCAGCGACAGAAGCCTAACGCCACCCTCCACTAACGCCCGCGCCTAGGCGCCCTCCTTCTCCGCGAACGCGCCGCGGGCACGGCCTGCTCCCGTGGTCCAACCGCGGAGGGAGCTGCGCGACCCCGCGCGGCCTGGCGCTCCTCCCCGCCGCGGGGACCGCGGCCCCCCGGGAGCCCGTCCGGCCTTACCCCGCCTGCAGCCCGCCTGGCTCCCCGCGCTGCTCCGCGCCACCGACGCGCGGGACGTCAGACGCCGCGGCGGGGCGGAGGTTGGGGGGGAGGGGAGCGGGGCCGGGGAGAGCGCCCCACCCCCTCCTCGTCTGCCCCCGCCCCCGCTCGGCCGGCTCCGGAGCCCAGCCCCCCAGCCCCGAACCTGGGGGCCCGCACCCCCCGGCGTCGCCGGCGGCGCGAGGACGACGATTAGCAATAATTGTTTTGTAATTGATGGTGGAGTTGGAGGGTGACTCACACTTTTCGGGCGCATGCTTGGGGTTCCCGAGTCAACTTCTTGAGAGCCGACCTTAAATTTCTAATAAAGTGTGGTTTGGTTGGGAGGGGTTGCGGTTAATCGACGTTTTCTGAAAGGGCTTCGTGGGGTCCACGAAGGAATGGCTCCGGGGCGGCAGGGTTTGATGGAGTGATGCAATTCAGTGAACGTGTTTGAAAGGCATTCCTTTCCTGTTCTGTCTCTTTTGGGGTAGAAACAGTTTTATTGTCCGGAATTAAGCTCTAGTTAAATGGGAGGGCCAGGATTGGGTGGTTGTGCAGTATTTTTTTCTGAGAACGTGGAAGAAAATGCAGCTTCGAAACATATTTTCCTGCTCTTGTCCATAGGCTGGGAAGAGACTCTAGGGAGATATTTGGGACTGATAGGAATAGAAAACAGTGTGTGGGTGCATTCCTTCAGTTACTATTTTCCAGGTTTCCAAATTCCGTGAATAACAATTATTAACCGTTTTCATTATTGACATCAGGAATTGACAGTATTATCCTTCCGGACAGAATTATTTTGGGACTATTAAATGATGTAAATAGATAATTACAGAATATAAAAATACACTTTTTAAAATTTTTAAATGTTTATTTATTTTGAGGGAGGGCTGCACACACTAGTGGAGGAGGGGCAAAGAGAGAATCCCAAGCAGGCTCCACACTGCCCACACCTTGGTGGGGAGGGGAGGAGAGTTGAGAGTCCTTGGAAGCCAACGACTGGGCCACCCAGGCGCCCCTAAAAATACATTTAAGTGGGTGCTTTTTCTTATCACAAATATACCTGATCACACGGAAAAGAAAAAGACTGAACAGTAAATTAACTATAGGGAAGGGTTTTGTTTTGTTTTACATCAATCGTGTTTAGAACTCGATGCTCTTCCACACTGGTTCCTTTGAAAGCCTGTGCACCTTATTCTATGCTCCTGTGCTCACACCACTAGTATAACTAACTTTAATTTGTAAACATAAAAATTACTAACTTAGACTATAGCTCCCTATTTCCTTATATACTACTTACATCAAATAAAAAAGCCAATTATCTTAAAAAAGATGTTAACTGAAAAAAGGAAAGCATAGAATGTGCCCCCCAAAATATGGCAACACAGTGCTTATTTTTTTTTTTTTTTAATTTTTTTTTCAACGTTTATTTATTTTTGGGACAGAGAGAGACAGAGCATGAACGGGGGAGGGGCAGAGAGAGAGGGAGACACAGAATCGGAAACAGGCTCCAGGCTCTGAGCCATCAGCCCAGAGCCTGACGCGGGGCTCGAACTCACGGACCGTGAGATCGTGACCTGGCTGAAGTCGGAGGCTTAACCGACTGCACCACCCAGGCGCCCCCACAGTGCTTATTTTAAAATGGATTCATTTAATATTCTCAAAGTCTTGAACTAAGCAGTCTTAGACACAGTTACCAAATTTTCATGTTTTTGTATAGACCAATATCTGAATTATGGAACTATTTTATTTTAACCTGAGATACTTAATTCTTACAGTAGCACATTCACCAATAACAAAATTCTATTAGTAACACTACCACACAATGGAACTTAAAAATTAAAACTATTACAGGGGTGCCTGGGTGGCTCAGTTGGTTAATCCTAAGACGTCGGCTCAGGTCATGATCTCCCAGTTAGTGGGTTCCAGCCGGGTATGGGCTCTGTGCTGACAGCTCAGAGCCTGGAACCTACTTTGGATTCTGTGTCTCCCTCTCTCTGCCCCCCCAGCCCCCAATAAATAAACATTAAAAAAATTTTAAATTATTACAAAAAAAATAAAAATTATTATCATCTGCTGGGGGTATAAAAATAACATCATAAAGAAATAAGTACCCCCCCCAAACCGTATGAAAATTAGGTTTTTAAACTAAAAATTAAATTCTTGGGGCATCTGGTTGGCTCAGTTGGTTAAGAGTTGACTCTTGATTTCAGCTCAGGTCTTGATGTCAGGGTTGGTGAGACTGAGTCCCATGTGGGGCTCTGTTCTGAGAGCAAGGAGCCTGCTTGGGATTTTCTCCCTCCCTCTCTCTGTCCTCCCCCATGGGTGTGCACACACATGCTCTCAAATAAACTTAAAAAACTTTTAAATTCTCTAAGAAATATTTCAAATATATAATCATTTCCAGATTGGTTACCAAATTTTTTATACATAAGATGTGGGGGACTAAAACTAATTTTATCATGTTAAGTGCAGGTGTATTTACCAAGCTCTCTATCTTCTAAGGATCTAGAAGACTTGAAATGTAACAAAGTTAATATCATTTAAAGAGTTTCATGGATCTTAGTTTTAAATTATAGAAAACATCACATGTAATTAAACTCAATTACACAATTTAAAAACAATACCAGTGTGTCATTCATGAATTAGGAAGTTCCAGTTTGATTTTCCAATTTGAATTGTTGTTTCATATTTATTTATTGAGAAAGAGAGAGAGCATGAGTGAGGGAGGACAGAGAGAGAGAGACACAGAATCCCAAGCAGGCTCCAGGCTCTGAGCTGTCAACACAGAGCCCTACGCAGGGCTCAAACTCAAGAGCTGTGAGATCATGACCTGAGCCGAAGCTGGACGCTTGATCGACTGAGCCACCCAGATGCCCCTCCAATTTGAAAGTAATTCTATACTGAATTTATTACTTCTTTTCATTTTATATAGAAGTTGGTATTTGTTCTGTCACTTCTTTGCACTTATTATTTCCACTAAAATATACTTCATGTTAATTTATAGACACTATAGGAGTCATACTTTTAGTATTAAAATAAAATGTTTTATTTATTTAAAAATGTTAAAAACACAATTCCTGTAGGAAAAAAAATTCTGAGTTTTTTTTTTTAATTCATGATAGGATTCAGAGCAATTATTTGTCAGTGGTTGAAAGGGTGACTAGGATGTCTGAACCTGGGGTCTTCTTTAAAATTAAGTTTTGGTTCCACCCTATAGATCTATCGAATCACACTCTTGTAGGATGGGGTCTAAGACTGACTTAGTATATATTATTTTAATATATATAAATTATTTCAATTTAGGAAGTCCAATCAAATCCCATAATGGTCTGTAAGGTAATCTAAGACTGCTGATGTGCTTGACAAAGCGTTAAATACTCTTTTTTCCTGCCTTGAGGTTATCTTTTCCATCATGTACATTAAATGTTGATGGAAACACATATAAGGAGTTCCAAGTTCAAGAGCAATGTCAACCCAGTCCCAGATGCATTTCAGTGGGGTTTCTTCATATCCAGCAAACATGGCCGGGTTTGCTAAGAGTCCTCTTGCAACCATCACACCTATGAATTAAAGCACATCACATTTGTCCACACATGAAGAACTCATGGTTATGAGGTCAAACCTAATGAAACAAACTGAGAATACTGAAAAATAAAGTATTATTACAAGGTTTCTCAATACCCGTATATTAGTCTAATTAAATTATAAAACAATTTTATATGTTTATATGTTTGACTATGTTTATAGTCAAGAACGTTTGAACGTGCTTATAAGAAATAAAAACAATCTTTTTTAAGACTTTTATATTAAATGATTAGTCTCTAGGGTTTTTTTTGGGGGGTGGTTAATCCGGATTGTCATAAATTGGGTATGCTTAAAGTTAGGTTTATCTGCATTCTCCCATCTAGCAATAGTTATCACAGGCCTTGGTATGCCAATAATTTAAGGGGGTAATAAAACTATGTCGCTGTATGTGCCTTTGGCTCCTATAACAACTTGGGAGTTCACTAATTCTCATTTCGATTCCAGATGTTCTATTTTATTAATAGGCTATCTTCCAGATAGCCTTAACTGGTCACTCATTGGATACGATGGTGGCAGAAACGTAACTGACTTAATTTACCCCAGTTAAAACAATCTACTGTTTCTAAGTAGAAGAGTTAATAAATGATTTAGCTTAAATCAGTACAACAGGAAAATATGGCTCCATTTTATGAGCCCAGCATGCTTCTGCTGTGCGATTCTGCTATTACGGCTCCATTTTAAAGACAAATAATGAAAACTCACATTAACATTACTCTCCTACGCCTACTTTTTTTTTTTTTTTTTTTGGTAATTAAAAGACAAAAAGCTCAGGTACTTATTTCTTACCATCTGTCCCAGTAATATGCCACACATTTTCTGCTTCTTTTAAGCTTCTGATATCTCCATTAGCAATTACAGGTATAGACATATTTTCCTTAATTATTTTAATGGCCTCATAGTGAACTGGCTGATGTCTTTCTTCAACAGTTCTTCCATGGACCGTAATCCAAGAAACTCCTGTTGCCTCAGCCTTTCGACAAAGATCTACAGTTCTTGTAAGGTCATCATGGATCCTATAATTTCAAAATTAAATCAGTCTATTGACAGCACACAAATCTTAATGCTAAAACTAATACGCTAGATAAAAGATTTCATCTGATACATTATTTAGTTAGCTTTGTTATATTATCACTACCTGCTACTATTAGAAAGGCTTTGTTCAGAGATCAGTTCCCACTTTAGACCTCAAATTTAGCTATTTCAATATTGGCAACAATAGGATGACAAATAAATTTTACCTTACCTACTCCTTCCCCCTTTTAGCTTTGATAACTGAAAAAGTCATCCAAGACTGTCATGGAGGAATTCGAAGATGGTACCCTAATATCTGCTGTGTATGCTCCAAACCACAAGTGGGAGAAGAGAATACATTATTATGAAATGTTCTCAACTTTTCACCAAAAGACTGATTCCTGCCTTATTTTCTTTTCATTGTGAAATTTTCGTGCAAATATTATTACTGTTTTTTCTATTCTTGGTACCAGGAATGTTTCTTAGCATTATTAATTAAGCAGTTTGTGAAAAAAATTGAGTTTCTTCTAAGGGAAAGTTTTTAATAATAAAGGGAAGTTTTATTTTCTATTAAAAAATACAAAAAGGAAGTTGCTCTCTTTATAAATAAAAATTATGGTACACATTCATTTACTAAATGTCCTGTTTCAACACTTTCATACATAAACTACCAATTTATTAAGGATGGATACCCCTATACTCTTAGACAAAAGGAATATATTTTTATTTTCTAAGTAATGGACTATCTTGTTAATAGTTTGAAATATTGTCTTTACCTTATTTTAATAGATACTGAAAATCTGGGATTTTCCACTTGATTTCTTACTTGTTTCACCATATCTCGAACAATCTCTGGCTTGTTTATTAAGCAAGCTCCATAACCTTCTGCCATTGCCCACCTTTATAAAGCAGACATATCAAATGAACTGTAAATAGCTGGAAGAGAAGACAGAATTCTAAAAGCACTGTAAATGCATCTATTTCTCTACCTTAGCAACCTGGAATGGAATCAGATTTTTATAATTCATAGATCCAACATTTTAAAGTGGATCAATATGAGATAAGGAAAGCATGTTCCCAGATCAAAAAGTACTTAGGAAAAATGGTTTTCATTGGCAAGTGAGAAAATTAAATTAAAATTCATTCAACCAAAACAGACTTAGGTATTTGTAATTAATTGCAATTACTTCAGATTTTTAAAATTCCAAATTTGATGTTTATTATACATAACAAGACATTTTATTAATCTTAATAATAGAAAGATATTTTTGGCTGACAGCATTCCAGTACCACTAAACAGCTTATTTAACTCTCCTAATGAGTATACAAATATGTCTAATCTGGTTTGGATTATGATGTACTTAAAACCTTGATTTTATTCTTTGGACATATTTTGAATTATTGACAGATAGTCTAATACAGTGCCAAGAACACAGGGATATTGTTGTCAAATTAAGCATCGCATCAATACCCAGTTAGACTCAACCAAATAACTATGGTATAGAAAGGAAAGGTAATTATAAGAAGGTATTCTTATAGAGCAAATTAATTAGGAGAAAACAAGTGGCCATCTCTCAAATCATAGAATCAAAGTTTCTTGTTTGACATGGCAGTAAAAATTCATGTTAGGGAGGATCATAAATGTTCAAGTCTTATATAACTACCTATGGATGATGTTCGAGGCAGACCTACACACAGAAAAAATTCTAGTGTGAGGTGAGACAAAACTTATCAAAGGTCTATATATTGTTTAAGGCATCAGAAAATACCTTTGCATATATATGTTCCTAAATTATCTTCCTTTATTTTTTCTTCCTATTTGGAGCTCAAGTGCTTTAACTCTATTTTCTTTACTTTCTAATTCTTGGAAAATTGGAGACATAGTTTACCATGTTCACATAGTTTTTTTCTAATTTTTTTTGAAAATTCTTCCAACTTCTTTGAGCTTTACCTCTGAGGGCAACCACAGTTAATGTCTATTCCATTCGCGTAAGGGCAGACTATACGAGCAGCATCAGACAAAAGTCTTGCATCATTAGCAGCAAACTGAACAATCAATGGGCAATCACCTGATAAAACAAATAGCTCAACATCAAAATTCACAGAAATGTGCACGCGCACGCACACACACACACACCACCAAACTCTTCATGTTTGTACGGAATAACGTAACTACATTTAGCCTGAAAAGCATTTGTTGAAACAAGATAGCATTAAACTAATTTTAAACATTTTAAATTAAAAGTAATTTACATTTAGTACAAATTCAAACAGTATAAAATTTGATAAAATGAAAACTATAACACTCTTGACAAACATCCCATTTCCAAAGGTGAGAATTAGTTAATTGTATTCCAGAACAATTTTATGTATACCTGTAAAATTTAAACAAACGTGAACATGCTATACACATTTCTATGCCTACTTTTTTTTAATCCCCTAATGTATCTGGGAGCTGTACTTAGACCTATTTTCTTTTTAGTAGCATATTCTTCTGTATGGATGAACCATACAGTGTTCTATATTGTTTTTCATTTGTGGCTTTTGCAAACAATGCTATGATGAGAACCTATTACATACATGCTACTCTGAGTATATTCATCGGGTAAATTCCCATGAATGTAACTGCTGGATAGGCATCTAACATTTTGATAGACGTTACAAAGTTTTCTTTCAAAAGAGTTTAACAATATAGATGCACAATGCTATGGATGAAAGTTCTTGTTTCCTTACAAACATAGTCTACATTGTATAAACAACAGTGTGTATTTTTATTTGTAGATTCTTTCTACATAGTCTTTGTCTATTTTTCAAAGTGTAATTTTTCTTTTCATTGTTCCTCATTTTCTTTAAAAATTTTTTTTTGGTTTATTTATTTATGAGAGAGAGACATCATGAGTGGGGGAGGGGCACAGAGAGAGGGAGACACAGAATCCAAAGGAGGCTCCAGGCTCTGAGCTGTCAGCACAAGTCCGATGCAGGGCTCGAACTCACAAACCATGAGATCATGACCTGAGCTGAAGCTGGATGCTTAACTGAACTGACTGAGCCACCAAGGTGCCCCTTTTGTTCCTCATTTTTCAATTATTCTTTTATAAAACAAAAGAAATCAGCTCTAAAATTATGAGTATCTATTGTAAAAATTATAAATATCTTCCCCAGGTTTTGGTTTGTCTGAGTACGTGCATGCTCCTTTCTTACATATAAAAGTTTACGTTTTAATATAGCAAATGTGTTAGATCTTTTCCTAGGTTTTAAAGGACATATTTTTATCATCTTTTTTTGGGTTAGTGTTATAAACTCTGCATAAATGTATTTTAATTTTTCTAAAGTTCTTTTGAGGACTACCTATATGAGATTCACTGAGTGTTTGACAAAATGCAGATTTCTGAGCGTCACCCTTGTTCCACTGATTTGGAATTTTTTTTTTTAACATTTATTTTTGAGATACAGAGAGAGACAGAGCATGAGTGGGGACCTAACTGACTGATCCACACAGGCGCCGCCCACTGATTTGGAATTTCTATGGCAATTCACTGATTTACAGGACTATTACAAGATAGGAGAATTTGCTTTTCCCTGAGGATATAGGATGTTTTTCTTTTTATAACTCAGAGAGAGTTATAGAATTTCAATTTAATAATTGTTTATTGGTCTAATATATTTTCAACACAGGGTAGAAGCTAAGGATACAAATCAATGAGAGATAATTTCAGACTTCATGGAGCCCATAGTCTAGTGGATGAGATACAGGCCTACAAAGAGGAAATTGTAATACAGTAGGATTAAGTACAACACAAAGTCTGTATTTAACAGAGGACAAGAGTGGAGGGTGATCAGGCAAGCTGCTTGGCCAAAAACTTTGAGAGCTGGATTAAGAAGCATGTAGTGTCGTTTGCCAGACAGCTCTGGATCTGGGGGACAGGCATGGCTGAGAAAAGGATATTCTAGGTAGAGAAGTATGAGAGGATGGGGCATATTCAGGGACTTAAGTTAGTATTTTTAAAGAATAAAGTTGGTGGGATGTGGAGAGAAACTAATGGAACATAAAGCTGCAAAGGTGTATGCAGAGGCTGGATCATGTGGAACGTTATACATTATTCACAGGTGTCAGGATTTTTTTTTAAAGTAATCTCTACCCACCTAACCTGGGGCTCAGACTCACCACCCTGAGATCAGGAGTCCATACTCTACCAATAGGGCCAAACACCCTGACAGGCACTGGAATTTTACTCTTTAGGCCACTGGTTGTTAATCTTTACTCAGGATCACCTGGAGGGCTTTTTAAAAAAGATTGCTGGACCACATACCCAGAATTTCTGACTCAGTGGGCCTGGGGCTTTTCTTTTCTTTCTTTCTTTATTCTTCTTTCTTTCCTTCCTTTTCTTTTCTTTTCTTTTTTCTTTTCTTCTGTCTCTCTCTTTCTTTAAGTAGGCTCCATGCTGGAGCTTGAACTCATGACCCTGAGATCAAGACCTGAGCTGACACCAAGAGCTGAAAGCTCAGTAGACTGAACCACCCAGGTACCCTGGAAATTTCTATTTCTAACAAGTTTCCAAATGATGCTGATGCTGCTGGTGTGGGCCACTACCCTTTGAGA